GCGTCTCAAGATGTTGCCCTCAGTAGAGTGCTGTGGTGTCACAGCTCACAGCAACCTCAAACTCTTGGGCTTAAGTGATTCTCTTGCCTCAGCCTCCCAAGTAGCTAGGACTAATGCCTGGCTGTTTTCTTGTTGCAGTTGTTTACCTGGACCAGGCAGGGTTCGAACCCTCCACCCTCAGTGTCTGTGGCTGGGGCCCTACTGACTGAGCTATGAGTGCTGCCATAAGTATGTTTTTATCAGTTTAAAAATCTAAATTCTTTTTTTGAGACAGGGTCTCAAGCTGTCACCCTGGGTAGAGTGCCGTGGTGTCACAGCTCACAGCAACCTCAAACTCTTGGGTTCAAGTGATTCTCTTGCCTCAGCCTACCAAGTAGCTAGGACTACAGGCACCAGCCACAACGCCTGGCTATTTTTGGGTTGTAGTTGTCATTGTTTGGCAGCCCTGCTATATTTGAACCCACCAGCTCCTATGTATTTGGCTGGCGCCCTAGCTACTGAGCACAGGCACCGAGCCTAAAAATCTAAATCTAAATTCTTACCTTTAGCAGATTAGGGGCTCAGAATAGGTTAATACTGTCTACTTCAACACTATTAGGTGTAGCTTAAACACAAACAGATCAATTGTGTTTTTGTGACTTTGAGCACAGAACATTTCTTGAACTCCTGGCTTTAAGCAATCTTCCCACTTTAGCCTCCCAGTGAATTAGGATTAAAGGCAAGAGGCACTGTGACTGGCCTTTTCTAAGGGTTTGGGTTTTCTTTTGGGGCGGGGGTTTACAGTGGGGTCTCAGTTGCTGAAATTGGAGTGCAGTGGGGGTAATTCTCTTAATTATATGCCCATAGATCACTGCAGCCTTGAACTGCTCTCAAGTGATCTACCCACCTCAACCTCCCAAAGTGCTAGTATTATAGGTGTGAGCTATCACATCTGGCCTTTCTGAGGTTAATTTCTTCATCTGTTAAATGCCTTCCTCATAGGGTGGTTTTGAAAACCAAAGGAGACTTTGGTCTAATAACTGACCTGCTCACAGCAACCTCAAATTCTTGGGCTTAAGCGATTCTCTTGCTTAAGATCATTGATATAAGATGGAGAACTGATGATCAATGGTGAAAAGATAATGGGACAGCTGACTATACATTCAGAAAAAGTTAAAAAAAATTTTTTGGAGACAGTCTCATTTTATTGCCTTTGGTAGTGTGCTCTGGCATCACAGCTCATAGCAACCTCAAACTCCTGGGCTTAAGCAAATCTCTTGCCTCAGCCTCTCAAGTAGCTAAGATTACAGGCGCCTGGCACAATGCCTATTTTTAGAGACAAGGTCTCACTCTGCCTCAGGCTGGTCTCAGATCAAACCTGTGAGCTCAGGCAATCCACCTGCCTCGCCCTCTCAGATTGCTAGAATTACAGGTGTGAGCCACTGCACCCAACCCAGAAAAGGTTAAATTTGATCCTATCTCAAAACATTCACAAAAACTAAGTCTAGGTGCAAGAATAGACATATTTAAGAAAGGCAAAACTAACTCCTGAAGAGAGTATCTTCATGAACTTGGGGTAGGGAAGGTGGCTTAAATGATACACTGAAGTATAAACCATAAATCCAACTATAAGAAAATTTCGAATTTATATTTGTCAAAGGTCACCATAAAAAAACAAGTCAGG